ATATTTGTTTTATTTTGAATAATTTATGAAATTGGATTTTTTTTTTCAATTTCATCCCCCATAAATTTTTTCATGTAATATTTGGTTTCTATTTGTTTTGCTTAAGATGGTTTTTAAAATTTGTTTTGTTTTACAATTTCCTTTTTCATGAGTTTTTTTTTTTTTGTATTAAATTTGATTCTTATTTTTTTTATTGCTATTTTCTTACCTTGCATTTTTTTTTAAATTGATTTTTTTTTATGATTTTATCTTTTAATATTTAATTGGTTGGGTGTTAAACGTCCTGGTTGAACCCGGGTCTAGAACTTATTAGATTGTGGGTTTAAGAGATTAACCTGGATTTACGAGTATTTTTTTTTCCCTTTGAGTACTACAGCTTAGATAAATGTATTTCTTAGGTGACACAAAAACACTTGGGGTCTGCAAGGATAATGTAGAAGATTTATGAAGAAACATATTGAGAAGTGGAAGAGGCCAAAGAATTGGAAGTATAATCATGGAAGTATAATCAGGAGATATTGGAGACCTTCCTTGCATTGGTGCATGGGGATAGCTGCAGTTGGTTTTTTGCTAATTAATAAGCTGCTTTATGTTTTCTTTTCTAAAGATATTTGTGAATGTGTTGTGGGAAACTCCTAATATAGTTTTGCAAAAGTCTGCTTTCAGCTCTTAGTGAGTAGTTATCATTTAGTGTCATTAGAGAATGTTGGATACAGTTTGGTTTATTTTCTTTTTTATGTTGGTAATTTTAGTCTTATGCACACTACCAAGACCCGCCTTAGCTACCCATGAACCCATGAGCTATAGTGACTACCTGCCTTATATTTTTTTAGCTTGACAACATCAAAGTGTAAAGTAATTTTGTCAACTTGGCTTTCAACATGTTCATGAGTGATGTTTCTATGTTCTTGTTAAAATATTCTTTGTTATGCTACTATGTTTTAATATTCTTTGTTATGCTACTTATTAATGTTATTGTTTAGCATTATGCATTATTTGATCTGTTCATATTTTATTAATCTCTAAAGGTTATTAAATGGATGCTCAGCAAGGGGCAGGGAACTACAATGGGAACTTATTCGCAGTTTATACGAGCATTAGATATGGACCACAGAGCAAAAGAAGCACATGAGTTTTGGTTGAAGAAAATTGGTAGAGATCTTCATTCCGTGCCATGGCAGCTATGTAATCGCATGATATCTATATACTACAGAAACAACATGCTAGAGAATCTCATAAAGGTTTGGTTTGCAGCATGCCACATGCTTCTTGACATGGAAAATCAGATGTGTGTAATGAGTTTAATATGTTTACTGGGCAATTATCACTCACAATCTGCATACCATACTTTTGCCATTGTTCTGTAGGAAATTGTGGTTTTCAATAAATTCATAATCTAATGCTAGAAAAACAATTTGAATATTCTCTGTACACATTATTTTCCAGTAAAGGACACTGAAAAGGTCCATCATTGTAGAGGTAGCTGCATTGGAACATGAATGAAAACAGTAGAGAGTTGCTCATACACAAAACCATTATGTTTTTACTTATCAACTCCTTGTACGTACAACTAAACTTAAGGAAGGAAATAGAACAAAACTTAAGATGTTGTTTTGAAGTCACTGAAAAGCTCCATCATTGTAGAGTGTGATATTTGTTCTATTCTATCCCAAGAATATAGCAAAACTTTACTGATTTGTAGCTTAAAGTGAACAGACATTGTTGGACATTGACATTTAATGAATTGGAGGATGTGGAAGATTTTATCCTTGGTTAAAAAGTATGTGGAAGGAGGAGAAAAAATGCTACAAAATTCATCTCATGTTGTTGTTTATCTTTGAGAAAGGAATATCTGTCTTGCCATTCAGTGCTATTAAATCACTGTATTTATGCATTCCTTAGATTTGTCATGTGTTGTCTTTTTTTAGTTGGTTATAGGTTGATCTTAGATTAGCATTTTTCTTTTTTCATAAATTGTTTGAACTGACCGCTTCTAAACGTTGGATTAACCTGGCTTTGTTGTTGTAATTGGATGCAAAGCTTTTCAAAGGGCTGGAAGCTTTTGATCGTCAACCTCCAGAAAAATCCATAGTGCAAAAAGTGGCAGATGCATATGAGATGCTAGGCTTACTTTACGAAAAGGAAAGGGTATTAGAGAAGTACAATCATATCTTTGTTGAGGCAGGGAAAGGGCGGAACAAGAAGCTTAGAAATGCTTCATCCAAGAAAAATAAGAAATCAGGTAAGGCACTTTTAAGTCACTTTCTATATTAGTGTCACTTTCTGATCGCAACAAAATTATGTGCTGTAAATATGTTAAATGACTAACTAAAAGGCAAAAACAAAGTAAATTGTTGAAATTAATGTTCTGAAAACATTATTTCTTTAGCCTGTGATTGTCTTTGTGTTTTTCAATTAGATTGTATATGATCACTGATGTCTTTGCCATCTGGTGCTGGAGCGAATAACATCATTTAGCTTCTATATACACAAAGCGTGCGCACATATTTCAATTCAGTCTTCAAACCTCCAAACTCACTTCCAATCATGGAAAATTGAATACACTGATGGTTTGTAATATGTACAAGATCTTTGCAATTGACCATCCCTCAAATGTTGTTGTGATTGCAAGTTTTGCAAGTTTGAGGACTGAATTGAAGATCATAAATTAATGTATGGGGACTAAACTAGACTATTGAGTTTGACATTTCAAGGCCTGAAAATATGGTTTTGCCTGTTTTGGTCCTTTGGGTGAGTTGGATTATCAAACCCAGCTCAACCTTGACCTAGCCAAGGGCCTAAGGTTCACTAGTTCAGTAACGGGTAGGTCACTGGGTACCATGGTCGTTCAAATGCAAATATATTATTTATTTACTTTCAAAACATTTATTGGATTATTACATGTAAAATACTAAAACAGGTCCAATAAGAGAAGACATGCCATGATAAGATGTATACAAGTCATTTGGTATCATGTAACATCCTCCAAATCCTAATTAGAGATGTGTTATTATGGAATCCACAGTTTGCTTTCTCGTGCTTTTCTGGATAAAACTAACTACTAATCTTCATTGTCACTTACAATACTGTGGAAAACCCATTCTCTAATTGAACCTGAGAAGCATTTGATATTTTGATTGTCTTTTTTTTTTTTTGGTGGCGTTTGATCTTCTCATTCCAAAGCTAGATGATTTTGATGATATTATTAAAAAAAACTTGTGCCCCACATTAAGTTCCAAGCGCTATTAAAGACACAATATTCAGAAGTTGCCCATTAAGTTCCAAGCGCTATTAAAGACACAGTATTCAGAAGTTGCCAAACATACATAACTATATGTATATGTCTTCCATATGTTCCTAGAAATGAGCCTGATCATATGGTCTATTTGTATCTGTGATAAGTAATGTATACCCTGGTGTGTACACATTTCAAATCTGGAACTGAGCCAGAACTTTGTGCTGAGCCTTATGACACCGAATCTGTTGATTTTCATGCCCGCAAATTCATCTGCTTCATTGAGTGATATTTTTATGTAGATAGAAAAATTAAAATGCTTTTTACTCTTATGATTCAGGGAAGCCAAAAAATGAATCTTCAGATACGCTTGCTGATGCTGTGGATGACAAAAAGTTGAGTCAGAGTTCATCAGAACATTGCAGATAACGTTGTCCCCTGAATGTTTGTAATTGCGTCCTTTACATTGGAGAAACCTTTACAATATAATTTTGGCCACTGGAACTGTTTGTTTAATTAAATGACTAACTAAAAGGCAAAGACAAAGTAAATTGTTGAAATTAATGTTCTGAAAACATTATTTCTTTAGCCTGTGATTGTCTTTGTGTTTTTCAATTAGATTGTATATGATCACTGATGTCTTTGCCATCTGGTGCTGGAGCGAATAACATCATTTAGCTTCTATATACACAAAGCGCGCGCACATATTTCAATTCAGTCTTCAAACCTCCAAACTCACTTCCAATCATGGAAAATTGAATACACTGATGGTTTGTAATATGTACAAGATCTTTGCAATTGACCATCCCTCAAATGTTGTTGTGATTGCAAGTTTTGCAAGTTTGAGGACTGAATTGAAGATCATAAATTAATGTATGGGGACTAAACTAGACTATTGAGTTTGACATTTCAAGGCCTGAAAATATGGTTTTGCCTGTTTTGGTCCTTTGGGTGAGTTGGATTATCAAACCCAGCTCAACCTTGACCTAGCCAAGGGCCTAAGGTTCACTAGTTCAGTAACGGGTAGGTCACTGGGTACCATGGTCGTTCAAATGCAAATATATTATTTATTTACTTTCAAAACATTTATTGGATTATTACATGTAAAATACTAAAACAGGTCCAATAAGAGAAGACATGCCATGATAAGATGTATACAAGTCATTTGGTATCATGTAACATCCTCCAAATCCTAATTAGAGATGTGTTATTATGGAATCCACAGTTTGCTTTCTCGTGCTTTTCTGGATAAAACTAACTAATCTTTATTGTCACTTACAATACTGTGGAAAACCCATTCTCTAATTGAACCTGAGAAGCATTTGATATTTTGATTGTCTTTTTTTTTTTTTGGTGGCGTTTGATCTTCTCATTCCAAAGCTAGATGATTTTGATGATATTATTAAAAAAAACTTTGCTGCACCAATGTGGAATTAGAGGTTGCTGTGGCAAGAGGATAAATATCATTTTGTTTGTTCACTCATCTTGTGGGAAGTGAGAAATATACTAATATTTTCCTTTACCAAGGTAGCCGCAGCTGCGCTGTGTTTTTTCCTTCTTTTCTTTCTTTTAGGTTCGACGCAGAGCTAAAGCCACGGTTGCCTCAAGCAAGCACCAGCCCGAACTCCGTCAGTGAGTACTAAACCATTTTGTTTATTTCCGGTTGAGACATTTTCAAATTTAACAGAAAATCATAGCAATTTCAGGTTGACATTTTCAAACTAAATCATGTCAAGTGTGATGCTGTAGGGAATACGGCACGGTAGAATTTTAACGACATGAATGTTATTCGATGACAGAAGCAAAAAATCACTTTAGAGCCAAAACTCCAAAAGGAAACTGCTTAACAAATTACAATTTGAAGCAATTACCGACTGTCCAAAAGCTGGGTTTAAGATTCATCTTGACATTCTAATAGGGCTTGGACTACTGAATCCATTGTTGGTCTCTTGTTTCTATCTTCCTCTACACAAGACATGCCAAGTTCAACAATCGTTTTTGCTTGGCTCCTGCTAAACTGACCATTCAATCTTGGATCCACTATTTCTTCTATCCAAGAGGTCTCTCCGCACTGAATTTTCCTTTTCACCACCCTGACAAACCTTGTTAGATCTGATTCATCATGCTCTTCCCTGCCCTCTATGACCCAATTTGAGAGTGGGATTCCTTTCACTATCTCTAGAACCACAACTCCATAACTATAAACATCAACTTTTGCAGTGATAGGAAGATTTGTAGCCCACTCTGGAGCCATGTAACCCTTGGTTCCTCGAATCTGAGAGAAGTCAGAGCTATTGCCACCCCTCTGAGACAACTTGGCAAGCCCAAAATCTGCAATCTTGGGTTCAAATTCACTGTCCAAAAGAATATTTCCTGGCTTCACATCACAATGTATAACCCATTCTAAACACTCGTGATGAAGATAAGCCAAACCCTTAGCTATCCCTAAGGCCGCTTTAAACCTGTCTTTCCATTCAAGAAACGTTGGAGAGAATAGATGCTTGTCCAGTGATTGATATTCCATGTACTCATAGACTAGGAGTCTGTGTTTGCCCTCTGAACAGAATCCCCACATTCTCACCAGGTTCATGTGATTGATTTTTCCAATTGTGCTCACTTCTGCCCAAAATACATCTTCCCCTTGGTACATGTTTTCCAGTCTCTTCACAGCTACAACCCTTTCATCTGTCAAAATGCCCTTATATACGGCTCCAGAACCTCCCCTTCCCAGCTCTTCCTTGAAGTTGTTCGTCGCCTTCTTGAGCTCAGAGTAAGTAAACCTCCTAAATGGACTTAATACCACATGATATCCGTCTTCCGCCAAATTTGGCAAACCACGCTTTCTGAAAAGAAACCACCAACCTGAAACTACAAAGAGAATTTCAATAAATCCAATGGCAGAAGCAAATGAGTAGAAATAAACCCATCTGGTCCTCTTATTGTTGAAGTTATACATAGAAAGAGAACCGATCGTTGTTTCTGATTCTGCAGACTGGCAAATGAGGTCAGTGCCATTAAGAATACCCAGTTGAGATGTCTCAAAACTCACTGGCAATCTCAGATATATATTGCCTGGAAAACTTGGAGACTGGTAACCGTTGAAAAGCACGCCTTTTGTGTAGCAAAGTTGTCCCCCATCTAGCCTATAGCTAAATGCTTTACACCGATAATCCCCCAAGCAGAGCTTCATGCAGGAGTCAAATGTAGTGGATGCACTGTAATTAAGATCAAATCCCCAGTAATCTACATGGGGCAACAGCACAAACTTCACTTGCTGAGACTGTGAAAGAGTGCTGTTGAACATAGGCTTGCAGCCTTTATTCCAATTACCAGGCTCAGTGATCTCATAGCCAGGTGGGCATGAACACTTGGGGTCTGGTGTATTTACACAAATCGAGTTTATCCCACAAATTCCATGAACATTACAAAGCTGAGAAAGAGCTTGCCATGATATCACCCACAATCCAGTTTCATTGTTCAGGCTATAAAGCCTGAGATTCCCATCATGGTCCATTGTTAGCCTCCTTTTGATCCTTAATAAACCCGTGTCAGGAGCACTGAACTGGAGCTGATCACTAGATATAAAATGGCCCATTTCATCAAAAACCGCAGTTCTGCTGCTATTATAATTTGTTCTACCATTTCCGAATGGATTAAAATCAGGACGAGGCCAGTATATGCTTGAAATATCAGGACCATCATATATCAACCTCAGCACATTATCATTATCAAAAAAGAAACTAAAATATCCAGAGGCATAAGACCCGCTATGCAATCTAGCAACCAGCTTTGTCCTCTTTGTAAATAACTGGTTTGGAAGAAGTGTATCGGTAGGAAAATCAAAGCTTTGCCATAGATTCGTACCATTACGGCCTTTAAGAACAAGGTTACCAGTGTCCAGAAGCTCTGCTCTTCCAACATCAGTGGAGGTGGTGTTAGTCTCCCATATGATGGAGCCATCAACATCTGTCAAGACCATTGCCCCGTCTCGTCGTAGAGAAACTCTTGAACCTCGGCCATTAGCAGGTCTGTCTCTGTTGGCCATCCAAACCACAGTCCTGTCTTTGGAATTGGTGAACCAAATAGAGAACCAATAAGCATTTTGTCCCATCCCATAGAATCCACAAGAGAATGTTTTATCTGGTGAGGTAAGGATGTCTGAATCATCTTCTACTGATAGAGATGAACCTCTTAGCAAAACGTTCTGGGCACTTGAAGTTGAAAGAAACAAGAACAAAACAGTAAGGAAACAATTTTTTTGTTGAGGGATTGAAGTTTGAGAACTCCCCATGAGGCCCAGGATTGGCTTGCAACTTGTATGTTGTTTGGTAAGAACAATTATCATCTATAGGCCTCCCAAGGAGGGCAAAGCCATCCTGCCATTGTCACTTTTCTACATTTAAATCAACAACAATCTCTTGAATGATTTTTTTATGAGCAATTGACAGCTCAAAAGGCTATCATATCTATTATGTAGTGGCTGAATCATATTATTATAAGCACGTAAATCTCTTTCTCCAATCTTAAATTAATCATTCTCATATTCAAATATGCAAGTGGGAGCATTTAATTCCTTCCGTATTGTTTACGGCTGAGAGACTATAGAAGTCAGATATTTGTTTAGATGTGAAACATGGACCAGTTTTTCCGAGTATTATAGTGATGGTTTGTTTTTGCATTAACACTTATTTTTTATAAGTGGTTTAAAAAATTTATTTAAAAAAATATTAAATTAATATTTTTAAAATTTTAAAATAATTTTAGTGTATTAATACAAAAAATCAATATAAATTAAAAAATACTTTTAAAAATTACTCTATATTATAATATTTTAAATTTGTTTGAAAGTATATTAAAATGATAAACAAACACAAAAAATATATTAATTTAAAAAAATAAAAAAATTTAAATTTTTTTTTTTTTTTAAAAAACAAATAACCCATTCATTCATGGCCACTATTCCTAATTTCCTATTTTCACACTGAAGTTTTGTGTCCAAAAAGTTCTTACAAGCTAGAAGAAGGATCCAAGTCCAAGTCGACTCTGGGCCAGCGTGGAAAAAATCTATGTGCCGAAGTTTGAATAGTACCAAGGGAAGAACACACAGGACAAAAGCTAACATTTATTGTCTTCCCTCCGCTTGCAGCCGCCAAACATCCTATGTAATAAAATACAATAATGATAAGATTATTTTCTCGCTTGTTACATTGCAAGTTGTTTTTAATATAAAAAGATATTTAATATATTTAGGTATTATTAATATGTTTTGCAGTAAAAAATAATTTTTAAATATACAATAATTGATCAGATATGATTTCATTAATTTAATAAGCTTAAAGATCATATAAATAATTAACAAAAATATGATTTGTCTTCTAATAACCATGAGATTTTTTATATAAATATTAAGATAACAAAATATTAGATCGATTCGGTTCATGTCAGGTTATTCAACTAACCCATATGCTAGGTCATGATACATGATAACATCGTGAAAAATAAATCAAAATAAATTATGAAATTTAATTTTTAATAAACTCAATATTAAATGATTAAATTGAAAAAAAAATCAATTAAAAATAGAACAAAAAAATAACCCTAGTCAACTCGGGTTAATATGTCAAACTCGCAACTTAGATCATTAAACCACGATAACTTAATAAAAAAAATCGAAACAAATTATAAAATTCAATTCTCAATCAACCTAATATTTAAAGATGAAATTAAAAAAATAATTAAAAAACAGGAAAAAAAACTCTAGTAAACCCGTTTGACTCGCCAAAATAATAACCAAAGTCATGAGATGAGGATAACCTCATAAACAATAAATCACAAAACCCAAACCTCAATTCTCCCAATGTTGAATAATGAAATTGAAGGAAAGAAAACAATTAGAAAAGTGAAAAAACCTGGGTTAACCTAGTTAACTGGTCAAACCCGTGGTTCGGGTCAAGAAATTGGGATGACTTTATAAAAGTATATTGAAAAAAATTATAAAATTTAGTTCTCAATAAACATAATGTTAAATGATAAAATTGAAATTAAAAATTTTATTAAAAAAAGATATAAAAAAAATAACTTGAGTCAACCCAAGTCAGCCTACCAAACTTGTGACTTGAGTCATGAGACAAGGGTAATGTTATTGAATTCAAACCAAAACAAATCAAGAAGCTTAATTTTAAATCAACTCAATATTAAAAAATAAAATTAAAAAAAATAGCAAAAAAAAGAAAAACTCGAGTAAAAATTACTCTACACTATAATATCATACATTCCTTGTTAATAATCCCCACTACAACTTTCAAGATCAAGAGGTGTGACTCTTCAATATCTTCAAAATATTTTGTGTAACTTATTCTAAATTTGATGTGGCGTTTCTTCATTTAATAAAAAAAAAAGCAATTGAATCCACCATTTTGACTAATTGTTTTCTAGATGGGAGTAAATTACCTAAATTATTTAAAATATTCATAAAATATGAGTTAAAATGGTTTTTAAAATTTTTTTGGATAATTTTAAATAATCGTTTCTTTAAGAATTCAATTTAGTTTAGTTTCTGTTTTGGATTTTTAAAAATCTTTTCTTATTTTATAAACATTCTACTTTATAACTTTTAAAGAGTATAATATAATACAATTAGAAAATTGACAAATACATATAGACACACCAACAAAAAAATTTTGTTGGTAAATTACGGTGATTTTTTGACCCATTATGCCATCACAATATGTATTGGTAAATCCTGATAAAAATATTATCCTAGTATATACTAATGGAATTACAGTGAGAAAAGAAGGAAAGGAAAAAAAATCCAAAAAATATGATAACGTGTTGTTTTTACAGATAAAATTACCGACGAATTTAAATCTGTCAATTAAATCTGTCGATAAATCCATTTATAATATTTAATTTATAACCTGACAAGCAATGAATTGAGACCTTTTATTCAATATGTATAATATTCCATATGTTGTTAGTTTCAAATAATTTATCTCTTATTCTATCATATAAATTGATAGATTGATGAATTCCTTGTAGGCAACATCTTTAATTTTGATAGTTCAAAAAATCACAATTGATTGAATCTCAAATCTTTTGATTATAAGATGAACAATTCAACATGGTTCAGAACATATGTAAAGACTATTTAATTATTTTTATATCTCAGGATATTTAATTTCATTGCACATTTCTTGTTAATTGTAATGAAGATGTAATTTATGCATCAAGTTTATTGTTTGGGAGGGAATGCTATTGTTACTTTAAATTTAATATATTTTGGTCTTGAAAGGAGGTGAAGTGCTATAGCAGATATTTCATTAATGGATGTATTTAATACTAAAGTGTATAGTCAAGCTAAAAAGTCATATAACAATGAGATATATGTTTAGGAATCGACTTCTAATAAGTTTGAAGTTGATTACCATGGGATATGAGAAGAGGTCATTGAATTGCAATATTTCAGCAAGCAGAATATAGTCTTTTTTATTCAAATGTTATTGTTATGATACCATCGATAGAGGAATCAAAGTAGATCTCCATCATGGTTGGTTGAAATAAATACAAAGGCTAGACTCCATAACGTCAACAATATCTTTGTTTTCGCCAAGCAATAATAAAAAGTTTATTACACATACACTCCATTTAGAAAGGATCTTTCAACATTTGATTGGTTATCCATAATAAAAACCAAACCGAGGGGTTATATAAAAGTTGTTCAAGATGACAACGATGAATTAATTGTAGGAGATGATGTCTTTTCACTTGACGGATTAATGGATCCACATTGAGTTGCTCTGTTTAATGACTTAAAAGAAAATTCAAATTTTCACGTCACCAAGAATACTTTTATTGATGTTAACATTGGGGAGTTAAATGGTGTTTTTAGAACTAGTGGACGTACACATGTCAATGAAGATAATATTAGTGATAAAATCAACATAGAAAATTATGATAGATATGACAATGATGAAATTGAAAACAAAAACAATTTTTATTAATTTGCACAATATGAACGTATAATGCTATAAACTGTAATGCAATATTTCTAGATAAAATTAACTTTAATGAAATGATAATAACATTTATTTATTATTAAATTATAAAGAAACATTTATTTTATGTATTTTTATTATTATACATAGAACTAGTGTTATTGTGCTATGTGTGCTATAGTGATTTTAAATATTTATGGGATGGATACATAAAGAATCCAGATACAATCTTGCAATAGAAACTATTTTGCATGAATGAAAATACGACGGACATGAAAAATACAAAAGATACACCGATGAATGAAGTCTGTTAATATTTTTCAAAAAGCATTGCAATTGTTCCATTCTCACTAACACTATTTATTGTGTTCAATACATACGAGATCACCGAGAATTAATGTCCTTTGATATTTTTTTGAGAGGTAAGATATTGTTCACTTTTTACTTTTCACTTGCATTGTTTATTTATTATTCAGTACATATAGAATCACCAACTGTTAATGTATGTCGGTATTTTTCCCGAGAGCTATGATACTATTCATTTCTTATTTGCACTAGTTATTACTGATCAATATATATGAAATCACTGATTGTAAATGAACGTTGATATTTTTCCAAGATTTAAGGTATTGTTCATATCTTACTTGCATTGTTTATTATTGATTAGTACATATGGAATCACTAGTAGAAGAAAAAAAGTAGTAAGTGATGGCTAGTAGGATTCTAATTTTTTTTATTAAATTAAAAATTTTAATTCAACTTTGCAAACGGATATTGATAAAATTTTTTTTAAATATATTAATATTTAATTATTCATCAGTAGAAAAACCTCAAATAAAATATTAAAATCTCTAAAATCAAAATAGATGGACATAATTCTCATCTTCTACAACTTCTTTTCTCCTCCTTTTAAATCTTCATCTTTCTCTTTCTTTTCTTTCTCTTTCTATCCTCGACTCATTATCTTCTACTATTTTCTTCTCCATATGCAGATATATCTTCTCCTTCTCTTATTCTCTATTTATTTAATGATTTGATCAATTTTTTTTTCTCTTTTTAGGCTTGGGAAAATTCAACATTTAGATAATATTCTTCTTTTTCCTTCTCTTTTTGTGGTTTTTTTTTTTGTTATTAATAAATGTATAAATGTTTTTGGGAATTGTTTTTATTTTTTCATTATCAATAATTGTGTAAATGTCAATGGATTTTTTTATTTTTTTCTATTATAAATAATTGTATAAATTTGATGGAAGTTTTTTTTTTTAGTTTTTTAAAGTTTTTTGCTATAAATAATTGCATAAATGTTGATGGATTTTTTTTTAAATTTTTTTTGTTATTAATAATTGTATAAGTGTTATTGGAAATTTTTAATTTTTATGTTCTTTAATGATTTCATATAGATTTTTGGCATTTAAATTATTTCTAATTTTTTCTTATTAATGTGGTTAGCTAATTGGTTTGTTGGTGTTAACAAACAATTTTTAATTTTAGGAAAAATAATTTTTTTTTGAAAATAGAAAAAAATAAAAAAATAGCTAAGATAATGGTTAATATAAATGAATAGTTTTTAATGTGAAATATTGATACTATAGATTGTTTAATGTGTTTATATTAACTTATTATGATGATTTTGCAAATGGTTGTAGCAAAATTAAACATAATGTGTTTATATTAACTTATTATGATGATTTCGCAAATGGTTGTAGCAAAATTAAACATAAATTGAAATAAAATCAATTGGTTTGTGGCAATCCAATTTAAATTGTTGTGTATTTGCAAGTTCAAAAATTTTAGCTAGCCTCCCGTATAGGAAAGATGCTGCCAAATATTTTTTTAAATAGAAATGATTTGCAGTACCTCAATCCTTTAATTTATATAAATGTCAAGAAAAATATCAATAGCACATCATAGAATCACTACTAGTTCTTCTTGTAGCGCTTCTAAGAATTATGAGTTGTTAGGTGTCGCCTAATAACAAACACTTGAGACACATGTATTCATTTACAATGTGGGATCGTCGAGCACGATGTCGCCATTTCAAGGAAAAGGGGGTCCAGTTGTTAGGTGTCGCCTAATAACAAACACCTGAGACACACGTATTCACTTATAATGTGGGATCGTTGAGTGCGATGTCGTCATATGAAAGGAAGGGGGGTCACTTCATAATGACATTCATATACCTAGAAGTAATAGGCTTAGTAAATGAACGATATTTAAATGTAATTTTTTCCCTTCACAACAATATGTTAATAATTTTTTTAAAAATAATTTTAATTAATAAATGTAATTTTAGGTTTATAAATATTAAAACTCTCAGAATAATAACATTAGTAATGAAATCTTCAATGAAAATTTGATTGTTTTAATAGAGTTAAATTTCTAAATATTTTGAATGAAAATCTATGATTATTGCATGGTTTGGAAGGTTTAAAGTTTCTATTAACTTAAATATCCTTTTTATTATATTGATTCGATTAGTTTATTTTAATAATAAGAAAAACTTTAAATGGAATAAAGATTACAATGCTATTGCAAGATGGGCAAATTCATGCTGCCATTCTCACTTTTCTTGGTTAAAATCAACAACAATCGCTTGAATGATTTTTTTATGAGCAATTTGACAGCTCAAAAGGCTATCATGTCTATTATGCGTTGGTTGAAACATATTATTATAGGCACATAAATCTCTTTCTCTAATCTTAAATTAATAATTCTTATATTCAATTATGCAAGTGGTAGCATTTTAATTCCTTCCGTACTGTTAACAGGTGAGAGAAAATACTTTTCAAAATTACTCTACACTATAATATCATAGCCATCATTCCTATTTTCACATTGAAGTTTGTGACCAAAAAGTTCTTACAACCTAGAAGAAGGATCCAAGTCCAAGTCGACTCTGGGCCAGGGTGGAAAAAAATCGATGCGCCAAACTTTAGATGCTACCACGGGAAGAACATACAGGACAAAAGCTAACATGTATTGCCTTCCCTCGACTTGTAGCCACCTCACATATTATAGTAAAATACAATAATGATAAGATTAATATCTTGCAAGTTGGATTAAATATTTTTTTAATATAAAATAATATTTAAATATATGAGGATTGATTTGATGTAATCTTATTGATTTGACAAGATTCAAAACAACTCTAATAACTAAAAAAAATAAGATTTGACTCATAATCAAAATTTATAAAGAGATTTTATTTTTATATAAATATTATGAAATCATGATATATAATAACCCTATAAAAATAAATAAAAATAAATTATAAAATCTAATTTTCAAGAAACTCTATATTAAATGATGAAATTGAAAAAAATCAATTAAAAATAGAACAAAAAAATCCAAGTTAACTCGGGTTAACATGCCAAACTCGTAACCTAGGTCATTAGATTAGGATAACCCAATAGAAATATATGAAACAAATTATGAAGTTCAATTTTTAATCAACTAGTGTTTAAAGATGAAGTTAAAAAAATTAATTAAAAATAAAAAACTCCATTCAACTTGGTTTGACCTGCCAAACCAATGACCTAAGTCATAAAATGATGATAAACTCATAGAAAGTAAACCAAAATAAATCACAAAACTTAAATCTCAATTAATCCAATGTTAAAGAATGAGATTAAGAAAAAAATCAATTAGAAAAGTAAAAAAAAAAAACTTGAGTCAACCGAGTTAACTCGTTAAACCCACAGTTCGGGTCAAGAAACTAGGATGACATCATAAAAAAAATATTGAAAGAAATTATAAAGTCTAGTTCGTAATAAACCTAATGTTGAATGATGAAATTGAAATTGAGAATTCTATTAAAAAAAGACACAAAATAATAACTAAAATTAACGCAAGTTAACTTGTCAAACTCGTAACCCCGAGTTATGAAATAAAGATAATCTCATTGAATTCAAACCAAAACAAATCAATAACCTTAATTTCGAATCAACCCACTATTAAAGGATATAATTGAGAAAACAATAAGAAAAAAGAAGAAAAACTCGAGTAAACCATGTCAAACTTGTAGTTTGGGTTATAAAACTAACATAACCTCATAAAAATAAATTGAAAAAAATATAAAACTCAATCTCTAATAAATTTAATATTACATAATAAAATTGAAATAAAAAAAAGGAAAAGAAAATACTATTCAAGTAAATAGTATTATGTGAAGAGATACATAGTAGAATCCCCTCCATTTTTTTGGTTAACTTTTGATTCAAGAAAAAATCATAAATATATTTAGTTAGGAATGAATTTTAATTTAAATAAAAATTTGTTATGAAAGCAAGTTAAAATTTCTAACTTATGAATTCTTACTTATACTTTAAAAAAAATTAAATTATTTTTATTAAAAATTCTTCCAATTTAAAATTTAACTTATTTCTTTTATAATTTAGTTATAAGAAATAACTTTGATTAAAAGTTGAAGATAGTTTTCATAAGCCATCTAAGCCAAATTTTCTTAAATTTGCAACGGTCTTTTACATGTGCATTTGTCAATATTATAGCAACTCTTGAGAACCTAAAAATATATATATCCATTCTAGTTTTGGTTAACTTTGTTGTGTTACTATGCAATAAAAGATGCAACTAGATAATTCTCCACACTATGATGCTATGTTGTGGCAGGATCAAAAGTTTTTTTACATGTACAAAATAATGTTTATACTAACAAAAATTATTTAACCATGTCATTAAACTCAATTTGGCAACCCGAACATGAAACCTCCAAACCATATTTTTTATCTAGTTCAAGATTTAAATTAAATTGATATTGTTTCTTAAAAAAATATTAAGACATAAACATATTAAATCAATCCGAGTCAATCTAAATTAACCTACTAAACTTGTAATTTGAGTTATTAACTCCATTATGTTGAATATTTTTTAAATTATTTTTATTTAATTATATAATAAAAAATAGATACTTGCAAAACTGATCACAAACTCAATACCGAGATGTTTTTCTAAGACCATAATAACCCCATAAAAAATAAATAGAATTAAATTATAAAGTCTACTTCTCAATAATTATGGTTTTTTTATAATTATTTTTTATTTAATAATATGCTAAAAATAAATGCTAAAAAAACCAAGCACTAACTTCATGTTATACATTTTTCTAAGATCACGATAACCTCATAAAAAATAAATTAAAATAATCTTTGAATTCAATTCATAATATTATTTTAGATCTATTTTTTATTTAATAATATGATATAGAAAGTAGACAATGATAAAATTAAATACCAACATAATGACATGATGTTATTTCAAGACTATGATAATCCTATATATATATATAAACCAAAATAAATGACAAAGTATAATTTCCAAGAAACTCAATATTGAAATACAAAAATGAAAAAAAAATAAAAAGAAAAGAAAAGGAAAGAGAAAAATAAAAAGAAAAAAAAACATGTTACTTATGAACAATAATTTTCCCTTTATTTTTTTATTTAAAAATATGATTGGACAAAGTAGATATTGTAAAACTAAACACCAATCCAATTCTATTTTTTTCTTCTAAAACTATGATAATTTCATATCAAGAAAACTAAAATAAATAAAAAAATTTAATTTCTAATAAATCTAATATTTAAATATAAAAATAAAAAAAAAATAAAAAAAATATTATTCTAATAGACACTAACATGTGAGGAGAGGAACAATGATTTCATCTTTATTTCTTATTTAATAATATTATAAAAAATAGTAAATAATAATAAATATAAACATCAATTAAATGCTGAGATATTTTTTAAAATTATATTAGTTTTGTATAAAAAAAATCAAAATAAATAATAAATTTTAATTTTTAATAAATCTAATATAAAAATATAAAATTAAAAAAAAAATAGTATTGTTCCAATAGATATGCGAATACTGGAATAATGATTTCCTCTTCTCTATTAGTTCTTATTAATTGTTAGAATAAATTATTATCATAATATATCTGGTAGAAAACGTAACATATTTGAGTAAATGGCACACGAATGTGCATTCAAAATCAGGCTGCATTTCCACCACTAGTCAAGCCTCCAGCATTAGATGGAAAAAATAGTTTTTGCCTTTTAATTTAAATGATTTTTCCTACTTAAAGTACTAAGTTAATATGGGAACTAAATATTTATTTGATCATCCTGCTCATGTTTGCATGTTAAATAAAATCTTAATACTTAATATATTTTTTGTACTTTATCTTATACTTTACTATTAAACAAAGTTTTATCTTCATCTTTTTTATTTTTTTTATTTTTTAATTCTAATTATTTTCATATTTTTAGTCATGCGATAATAATTAAATTTTACCTAAGAATATCTATATAACTACATAACCTAAATCGGTATGAATTTGTAAGAGAAAATAGAAGGATGGGAATTGTAATACCCCAACTTCAATAATATTAAAAAGAAAAAAAATATCTCATTCTTACATTATATAACTCTTGTAGCAGAGAAAATCCTTTGAATCCATGGACTTAGATTACAATACTCTCAACACATATTTATACCAATATAATTTATGTATAATTCTAAATATTTAATAGGATAACAATATTGTTAATACTTAAACATGGATAAATTTTATGATACTCATACTATAACTAGTCAAATCTTATAAGTACTTGTAAAAAGAGTATGATTGTTTTGATTTGATATGTGAATTATAGAGAAATGGGATAACAATAAATAAATTAGAATTAAGAGCAAAACTTAAACCAATAAAAATGAGTTTTGATTAATTTACCATTTTATTTTCATATAAAGCACAAAATACCAAGAATTAAAATCAAAGTTATGAACTTTTAATGTGTTTTCTTATTGATTGATAAAAAAAAAGTGAATTAGGAGTTTGATTTGTAAAGGTAAAGGGACAGTAACTAGAATTCCATGTGTTATTTAATGAATGGATTTTTATAGTATAATCAAATCATGAAGAAAAAAGACAAAGAAACTTCTACTTTTATCAAATCTTTTTTTCATACGTGTGCAGCATTACTGTGAAAAAATTCATTCTGTGAAAAAATTCATTCTCAAATCTTAAATATTGGTATCTTGGAAAAATAAGGAAAAATGAAGATACAAGAATTCCTTATCATTTATTTTTGTATAGATATAATGGGAGTCACCATTTAATATTTTAGTAATTAAAAACTCTAAATAGTTTTAAAAATAAGATATGAGGACTAGTTATGTAAAGAAAAAATGTTAGCACTTCAAATACACAATAACTAAGGTAAGCTGTATTGTTTTATTATCTGATAAAGTCTAAAGTCTTGTCGTGTTTTCTAGTTGTTGGTTCGTCTATGGTTTAAGAAAAGTCATTCTCAATAAAAAAATCATTATTTTATCGGTAAAACCTAACCATTCTAATGCTAACAAAAAAATTTAATATCCAGAATATGTCTTATATATAAGATCGTAACCCCAAATATTAAAAAAAACAAAATTTTTTTTTTGAAATGTTTGAAATATTGGCCTAGTTCTCATGACTTTAATAAACTAGTTATTAACGCTAAATTGCATGCTAATATATATTTATGAACTTTTGTTGTATGAAAATATCATATGATTTTTTTTTTCTTTAAGATACTTGGTCGTGTGCATGAAAACAAAAACTTTTAATACCGAATTTATATCTTTACAGTATAAAAACACAAA